TCTCAGCGGGGGAATGAGGAGTAAAGGACTCTTGAGAGTAGAAAGAGAGGTTTATGAGTCTTTGGAGAGGACTGAAAGTGAGGGACAGGCTTAGTGGATGGATATTAGATTGGTGTCATGAGTAGACATGTCAGGGCACAGATAGCTTCATCCTTTATCTGAGCTCTCTCCTCACTATGCCAGGCACTTCTTTCTATCCTCCCTGTTAATCTACACCTCCTTCCCCCAACTCTCTTTTGCCTTTGGGCTTCTTAGTTTACCTCTTTACTAATGTAATTTAGGTCAGGTCTTTCTTAATTTCAGAGCTTTTATGAAAACGTTAAGGGATTGTACTGATGTTACAGAATGTTTTAGCTATTTGCTGGTTTTATATAATTTAATAACTGCTGAACATTTTCCAAATGTCAATACAAGTCCTTCCAAATTTAACAGGTCAGACAACTCTCAAAGTAAATACATATTACAGTAGATGCAGGTACAATAAAATATTAAAACCATTATTTCAGAATATAACTTTTCGTAAAAAAAAACTATTACAATTCCTGTCTGGCACTGGGTTAAGTATTAGGTTTGGAGATGTTTGTGATTAATGTCATTTGTCTTATATTGTTTTCTCTTGAATATAACTCTTTGTTGGTCTATATGAACTTTAGATTTTATTCAGTTTGTCTTTGTGCAAATGTGTCACTGTTTCTTTTTTTAAACCATTTGGAATCGTTTGTGTATTTCCTGTTAAATAAAACTTTCTTGAAATATATTTTATAGATTTTTGTAGCTTTGTAATTTATTTTTATTTTTATTTTTATTTTTTCCCAAGCAGCGACTAGTTCCTCTCCATTTAATGTTGTTTGAAGAAAAATTTTTACCATATATACTCCCAGGCTTATTTTAATATTATGGTTAAAATGAAGCATCCTGGACAATGAACTGTGTATACCATTTGAACTTTTTAGAAGTTGTATCAAACTATCCAACCCAAATTGAGTTAATATGAACTTTGCCTGGAATCTTATCTAAAGAGAAAATGTTATTTGAACTGGAATGGAATGAGCAGAAAGGCAACCAGGCCCAATTTTTTTTCTGGACAGTAAAAAGTCCTGATTCAGATGAAGAACAAGTGTTGTTTTGGATTTGTTCGGTGATTTAATCTGGCAACTTCTCTTGTTTTTACGCCATGATTTTACCACTTACAATATGCTCTCAGCAGAGACACAAAATCACACTTTTGCTTGACGCATGAGACTCAACAGTCACTTCATCCTGGAGACACTGCACAAGTGGCCATTTAGAGACGTACACTGAGAAAATGGCTCTGGGAATAGCTATCTTTCCCACACCCCCTGAACTCCTTTTTGTTGTCTTTAGTGTTGCAGATATGATCAGTTGATTTTTGGCCAGTTGTCTTAGTCTTAGGAGGCATGGCTAGGGTGTGCAGCAAGGTATCTGTGATCTTATTAGGTGAGGGAAGGAAATGGATATTTTGTTTTCTTTGTATCTACCTCCAGCCTGTGAAAGCAAACATACTGTGGGCAGTGGTTTTCCATGCCTCTTGAGCTTGCATGCTAGCCTGGAACAAAGGCCAGGTTATTTTAGTGGCCAGTGTTTTACTGCAAATCAATATTTGTTTGACTTCTTGACTATAAGCCATAAGGGAGATATTATTCTCACCTTGAATAGTTAAATGAAATCAATATTTGAGACTGTCCTTGACCAGGAAAATTATAGCTTTTTTTGTGCATTGTTTAAGTTATGTTAGTCTTCTCTCAGGAGCAGAGGTAGAAGTAGTGTGAATAGGGTTGGGTATCATTTAAAACCTTACAATACTTGTACCAATACCAGAAGTAGTACTTTGTTCATACCTTTTTTCTTTGTCTTGTGAACACAGTACAGTGTACAGTGAATATCCTGAGGTTTTCTCCATGCATGATGTGGCGCTTTATCATGTTACTCACAGTTTTTCCCGAAATAATCCTCCTACATTTTATGCATTCATTTTTATCTAACACCACAGGCGTGTAGTAAAGCCATGCTTTTGAACGTTTTGGTGGCATCTCTGCACTCTGAACTGCCAACTCTGTCAAATTCACCACTTTCAGCTTAACCAGCACAGACTGTATGTAGCTGCTAGCTCTGGTACAAAAAGGATCAAATGCAGGTATAGTTTGATTGCAGAAGTTTTAACACTACTTGGTACTGGATTATTTTGGTACCCAGCCCTAAATGTGACACTGTTAAACCGCCATAAAGCCTCCCAGATGACTTGCTTGTAATAAAATAATAATAAATGCTTTTGTATTTTATGTTTATATAGAAATTTAAAGTGATGGCATCCTGTAGCTCACCTTGTAGAGCTGCCCCCGATGTACCATGGCCCTTTGCTGCGTGTCATCCCGCCTCTCTCTCCCCCCTTTCCTCTCACTCTTTAGCGGTCACTATCGATTAAAGGCAATAAAAGTAAAAATACTAAAACAAAAATAAATTGAAAATTGAAAATGATATCCACAAAGGGAAAACCAGATCACCCTTGCTGTCCCTGGAATATCTTCATTGACAGCTTCCAATTTGCTCAACATAAACACAACTAAGCACTGCGACACTAAACACTTAAGCACAAAAGCCTACTGTGTACATCCACGCAGTTCTGAATGCTGTATACACCCTCTGTGGAGGAGGTTCAGCTTCACAGTGTAATGATGATGGCGTTTCACATCATCCAGTGTGTAGGGGTAAAAAAAACAACAACAAAGGCCACCACTGTGACGGTCTCCTCTTAGTCCTGGATGTTTTTCTTTAGCCATGAGATTGTCAATTTATAAAACACCAATGTCTCATTGTTGATGATAGTTGGCTACCTGTCTTTGAATGGCGAGTCCTTGCAAACCATTCCCATGAATCTCCTGGTGAGAATTGGGCTGAGACTGAGTCACTCATTTGTGTGAAGTGGCGACATGCTGAATGCTCAGCGGGATTTCACTGTTAAGCTCCGGATCACGATTCAGTGGTGTTTCTGCTCCGCTGTCTGTGCTTCACTCCCATGCCACACATCACTGTAGATAGGAGTCTTAAATTAAACCGTGCCACATTCAAAAATCATCACATCCCCTGTCATTCTGGTGCACACGTGCAAGTGATGAATCTCCTGATTAAACCTTTGAAAATTATTACACATTTTAACACTTTTCATTGAATATGCAAGAGTTTTAATTTCAATTTGTTAGCACGGCGGAAGGAACAAACACCAGGTGTTTCTCTGCACTCTTCTAAATCTCATCTGTGTCAGTGTAGCTTTAGCTGATGCTGAGAGACGAAGTGCATTAGAGTCTCAGGAAAAGGAAAAATTCTCTGATTTACAGCATTACGCTTTCTAAATCATCTGCACGGAGAAGCAGGGATGGAGAAAACGAGTACGAGAGCACCCTGCTGACTCAGTCAGGTGGCTTATATAAACACTCAGTAAAATAAAATCTTTACATGGTGCTGCTGAATATACTTTTGATTGCTGCTGAGGTCTGATCATCATCTTACCCCAAACAAATGCATAACATCTGAAATACGCAATCTTTTTTTTTTATTCTTGAGAACTTGTTGATAGACGGTTAATTTACTGTTACCTACTGTTGCTACCCATCTGCACTGTGCCCTCTTCTTTTCCTGTCAGTTTACTGCTGTAACGAGGCGCCTACAGCATGCCTCGATTGTCACAGGGTCACAGGTACAAGATTTATTAACAGCTTACACTCTGAAAGTGTTGGCAGCAAATGGTATACCTTATAAGTGAATCACAAGGCCATGGAGTGCCATTCTCTATCTCCATTTTTCTATAGTTGTTTTTCTGTTTTGCTTGAATGGTTTTACTGGCACTGCAGAGACAACATGTACTATTGGCATTAAGTTATTTATTCAGGATAAAATGTTAAGTGTACTCAAACTAGGAGATTAAGGTAGAAAATAAACAAGAATATCTTTTTTTTTTTTTTTAAAGTCCAGCCTCACAACATAACCTTGCTCAACAATATGTGTGACAGCTCACTTAATTTGTTTAGACAGGTATGTTAAGTAGAAAAGAAAAACAAGTATTATTGTTGAATAAATCTGAGGAAGAAGAAGCTACTTAAAAAACCTTTGATTTCTCATGGCTATTTAGTCATAGTAACAGTTAAAAACATGCCTAATTAAAAGTGGAATCTCTTTGGCGTCACCGATATGATTGTGAAGAGCCGTTGTGAGGCTCAGTGTACTCGGTTCTGCTCGTCCCCATCTTGGCAGTCCTGACTCAATGGAGCTAAATGAAGCCAGGTCACTGAGGATAATTTAAAGGGGTGTTTTATATAAAAATAAACCCCCTGAACAGTTGTTGTGCTGTAGACACATTTTACTTTTTAGGAAAGACAGGTGTAAGAAAACATTAGAAAGCACACTGAGATGCAGAGAGTTGAACAGCGGCTATCCAGGAAGTGACATCAAGATTCCAGCTCTCTATACCTTGTGTGTGTCATTCCAATTCACATGATGTTAAGAATTATAAAATAACCAGTGTGCTTAATATATTATATTTTTGATGGTGAAAATGTCCTCAACTCTAATTTCATGCTCACTAGCTGTGAGTGTCTTTAATAACAAGATGGGCAACAATGATGATATTCACAAATAACACTGTGGAAGTCCAACTGAAAATATGAACATTCTAAACATTTTTGCACAGCTAGCAATGCCTCTGTGCACAATATGTTCTCAACAAGTGAGCCTGCTAACAACCTGGCAGTTCAACAAGGTCCTTGTAGAAAATCTAGACTGCACATGGAGATGTTGCACTCTAGTGAGCATGAAAATTTCATCCAGAGTTTCATTCATAGTGGGTATGCCTAAAAATGGTTGTTCTTTTGAGCAGGCAAAACAATCTGATTTTGAGCCTTGCCTTTTTGTGCTTTGCCCCTGTGTCACCATTCCCTCTCGCTGGAACCAGACTAATGTATATTTTTTTTCTTCTTTTCTTTACTCAGCTGCCCTCCAGGTGCAAATCACGCCAACACAAGGAGAGATCAGCGTAGGAGACTCCAAATTTTTCCTCTGCGAAGGTAAGAGTGATCTCAGACACACCTCATTTAACAGGGCTTTATGCAAATGTCACCTCATAGAACAATATTGGCAGTATTAATTGAGATAAATTAATAACAGTGATACGTGTCAGTTTAAATAATGAGACTGGTGAATATACTCATTAGAAGTTCAGCAATGAAGAAATTCAAGGCAAAAGATGAGACTACTAAAAAAAAAGACAAGGATAGATTGAATGAGCAGTTTATTCTGAGGAGGTAGTGGGGAGTTGAGATCAGAGTCGTGTAAGGAAGAGGGCTTAGAAGAGGTGTGAGAGAGGTGCAGTCTAAGGAGATAATGAGAGAGAGGTCTTAGACTTTCTGTGTTTTCAGTGTTGAATGTACATGTGCAGTTGTCAGCTTGTCTGAGATACAGGTGGTATTTGACTCAGGTAGGTCAGCTGTCTGACATTATACACAAATGTACAAATATAAATAAAATCATGCCAGTCAGGGCTCGTAGTTATGATGTGACGATTAATCAATTATTTGTCAACCTTCAAATTATATTATTTTGTAAAAGTAATTAGGTGAGTCATTTTTTAATAAAAAATATCCAAATTCTCTGATTCGAGCTTCTTAAAGGTCCAGTGTGTAACATTTAGGAGGATCTATTGTCCAGAAATGGGAATATAAAATTCATAGTTATGTTTTTATTAGTGTAGAATCAGCTGAATATAGGAATTGTTGCGTTTTTGTTACCTTAGAATTAGATGTTTTTAACTACACTAGAGTGAGTCCCTCCACGAAGGCCGCCATGTTGAACCACCATGGGATGAGACAAACCAAACACTGGTCTAGCTAAGGGCGGTCTCACATTTTCGCAAATCGCAGCCATACACCTACACCTTTGGAAGACACAGTGGTTTGAAATGGCTGCAGTCTGCAACTACACCACCAGATTGCCACTAAATCCTACACACTGGACCTTAAAATGTGACTAGTTTCTTTAGTCATCTATGATAGACAAGTGAATGAACTAAAGATAATCATTTATCATAACAGATGATATGTAATGATTAAGTTTTGACAGAAATTCTTTGGTGCTTAGACTTTTCAGAGAGTTTTGTAATCGAGGGGCATCTGCCCTGAGCAGCAACAGAATAAATCCACACTGGTGATGGCTGATGACTCTGCTGACTTTGATGGGGAGGTGGAGGGGCGCACATAACAGCAGAATGAACATACTGATGGCAAAGAGAGAGTCATATTTAAAAATACAGCAGCAAGATGATAGGCGAACAATGTAGGAGTGTTGCTGTGCTACTGGATACATGTGACCAGCTGATGAGAACAGCTGATCTCACGATTGATGGCCCATGATAATGACAGCAGGGACATTATGAGTGAGCAGGAGTGAGAGGAGTGAATGGCAGGAGGGAAAGAGAAATAAACAGGCCTATGCATTCAAAAGAATAGTCTTTACTTTGGTTAGAGCTCTATCTGTTAACTGAGAGCCTATAAATCAATAGTACTGTTCACTCAAAATACAAAACAAAATGGTATCTAGCCATGCAGACAGTTGTTTTCTTATCTTCCAGATTTTGTGTCTTTGTGCCTCCACCCTAATACATTCTGAGTTTATGAGAGCTAATAACAGCAAGGTCTGTCGATTATAGAGTAAAGCCGTGTGCAGACTACACACATCTTGCCACAGGTATCCTTAAGTCAACACGGAATCCGCTCCTGTTCCCATCATGACGGGTTGTCCAGTTTAAGCAGTTCCAAGACCTCATTGTTAGCTGTCCCGGACACTGCGACAGTTTTGAAACGTGTTTGATTTTGTTCTAACCAAACATGTAGTGTGACAAACTTGGAGACGAGTCTCAGACAGCAGACGAGCCATGTCGAATGAGAGGTGAGGGTGGGGAAAAAAGGAGGCCACACATGAATGTTGCTGAATATCACGTTCATTAGCACCAATCGCAGATCACACTGTTCCAGTTGATAATCAGGACACCTCATCTAAGATCAGTTGTGTAGTTTTTCTATCCCAAAGTCACCATGACAACAGTCACAAAATATGTTTTATATTGTAAAACAGTACAGCAATTCTAAGATTCTGATAATGTAACAGTCTGCTTTATCTTTAACGGGAACACTGTCTCTGGAAAAATATGCTGCTGTTGATTATTTTAGATCTAACTTTTGCATTAAAAGCAAAGTTCTATTCATCTCCATTGTATTTAGGGAAAGTAGACATCTCATAGCCAAGACCATTAAAACCAGACTCTGCACGGATAGATACCACTAGAAGTAAGTAAACTGTAGTTTGGGCGAACTGACCCTTTCAAAAGGTTGTTACACAGAAACAGTAACTAGTTGCCTCCCTCTACTGACCTGTTATTACAGTGCTTGCAGAAAAACCACAACTGTGAGAATGAAGCCATCAGAAGCAGAGCTCAGTATTTTTGTACATTTGGAATATGACGCCTTGACATTTTTTTTAATTTTACTGAGTCATTTTCTTTGTTGTTTCATGAAGGAGCGTGGCTCTGGCTCAAACTATAATTCCCCTTTGAAAAGGATGTCAAAATGCATTTAGAGCCCTTTGTGTTCCCTAAGAGATGAGATAGCATTAATATGTTTCCAGGAAACAAAAGAAATGTGTCAGCTTGCACTGGTCTTTATAAAAAATGAATGATGGGGAAAAGATGTTTGATTTTTCTCGCAGTGAAAGTTGCCTCCTACTGAATAATCCTCTAAATAATCCTCTGTCCTACAGAGCAATCAGAAATAATTTACACCACTCTTTTTATGTTTTAGTTTGCATATTTAGTTTGATCTTGAAGAGACATCTACTGTTGGGAGATGTGTTTTGATTTAACAATAATGTTTCTGAGTCATCGGCATACAAAGAATTCTTAATTCATTGAGCGCAGATATCAGCTTTTTTTACTTGTAGACTCTTTGTCTTTTATCTTTTATCTTTACATGTTTACTCACAGAATATCATGTGATCTTGCCTAACATGTTAAAATAGTTGCACATCTGTGATGTAATACATTAGGGATGTAACTGAATACATGATTTGAATATGAACAGGTAATGCATTCTGAACAGATGCGAACATCTTCCAAATTGTATGCAAATAATGGTGGGGGTTTAACTGCAATCCAGATATCTAACTAAACAGATGCGTAACTAGGTTAGTTGCAAAACTATAAAACAGAATTCCACTTTGTTCAATCACTAACATGCTTTTCATTGACATGGCAGCTGTGAACTTTCTTTACACAATTCTTGCTCCCTTGCCTCATTCTTCATTTGATGTTTTTCAGTGGTGGGAGATGCTAGAGACATAGACTGGTACGCCCCCAGCGGGGAGAAGATCCTCCCCAACAGGCAAGACATTTTTGTGAGCCGCAGTGATGAAACCACGTCTACCCTCACCATATACCACGCCAACGTGGATAGTGCCGGTATCTACAAGTGTGTGGCAAAGTATGGGGACAAGGAGGCCCAGGCCACGGTCCAAGTGAAGATCTTCCGTAAGTCTTATCTTTTTTTTAAAAGGCTACACAGTAAATGTTAACAACCCAGAAAGCTTAGTCTTTTGCTAAGTAGTAAGTATTCATTATGTCCTCTTTTATGTTCTTCTCAAGTATTTTTTGACAGGCAGAAGCTCTTACCTAAATCCTATTCTAACCCCAGCTGTTAAAAATTTTCTGTTAAAGAAAATGCACAGGGCTGAATTTGTGAGGTTGTGTTTTTTCTAGATAATGAAATATTATCCAGATAGTTCTCTTTGAGTAATAGAGTCCTGAAGGAATTACTCCCCGAAGTGAGTTAGTATTTTTGTATGTCAGATCAGTTTTTAATGGGTTTTTGGTAACATGCCTAAAATAAGGTCTGTGGTTAACACAAGCTTAAGAGATTTTCACCTTTTGTTATATAACATAACGTTAGCTCTTTACTTCTGGCGATTGCATTTACACTTAGAAAATCTAAAAAGTTTAATTTGTGAAGATTATCTTGCTGAACAAAACCTGTAAGTATCATAAACCTTTGTTCGCCACAGAGCTTACTTTCTGCAACAATCCAAAATCCAATAGAAAAACCCTGTTGGCTTTTTGTGGAAGGAACCAGGGCAATACTAAATGCCGTTAGTGTATATAAAATACATCATCCCATCAGCTCACTATAGATTTATGAGGTCGAAGGCTAACCAGATGCCGAAAACACTCCACGGTGTATCATAATATTACGAGGATGGATTTTGCAACTCTGGGCAGTAAACAGTAGAAAAACAGCATTTGTATCAAAGGTAACCTACTGGGAATGTGGGCTGAACTTCCTGCGTCGGCAACCCTCCCATGTCTACATTAAAATGAGGGCGCTGCGTCTTTTCGTGCAGTCTGAACGCTAAGAGTCTTTGAACTGTCTTTACCTCGATTAACTTCCCCCACCGTCTGTGATTATACAAAAGCTTAGCCAGCAAAACATTTATTTGAGAAGCAGAAGCTCAACCATATGGTGTCTGGGTACACTGCTAATCAACTGTAAGATTGCACATACAAGTGTCAGTCTGAAAGTTAATATATTTAAAAACATGTATGTGTTATATCTCCCTACAGAAAAGATCACCTTCCAGAGTGCTCCCAGCCCACAGGAGTTCAATGAAGGCGATGATGCTGACATAGTCTGTGATGTGGTCAGTTCACCACCACCCACCATCATTTGGAAGCATAAGGGCTCCAAGATCCAGGTTGCCAAAGACGGTGAGCCAGTCCAAATGAAAATGTTCCAATGCTTGAGCTACTTTCTCACCTCCAGCCTGCCATCCCATCTCAATCCCCTGATTCCCTGAGCAGTCACCTTTCCTTCCTTCTAATGCTGTCGGCCAATTCTTGCTTTCCAATCAGTTTGCTACACTCTTCCTCATCTTTTTGTCCTCCTGCTCATCATCTATGAACAAAACCATGCATTTTCCCAGGGTAAAGCTTAAGACCTCATAGATGATGCATGGACACGGAAATTGTATTTTCATGCCCAGGAAGAAGTGGTTATTGTCACTAGAAAAGATGTCTGATGGCAGATTGGACTTTTAAGTTCACCAAATAGAGGTAAAACTACTCTGGAGGATGAAAGAACTGCTGCGGTCACTAACAAAAGATCAAATGCATCTAGACCAGGCTATCCAGGTCAGCTAGTTTAACAAGCTAAAGGCATCATTTTATTGACATTGACATTTTCTTCAGATTGTATTTTTTTTACCAGATTTCCCTTGACATCATCTTTTTTGTTTTTTGTAGAAGGTTATTTTTTGAGATCACAGACGTGGTAGAAGTGTTTCTGACAGTTTCTAGTTGGGTGTAGTCCTGTCCCCATCGTACAGTAGGATTGCCGAAGTTGATCTTTATTGTAACTGTACTACACTCCACTGAAAATCTTTTGAGTATATCAAATATTTACTGCCTTTAGGCTTGAAAGGAGGTTTTGAAAAGTTTGTAGCTCGCTCCCTGACGGAGGACGGAAGCTGTAATCAGCTTCGATTTGCAGTTGTTACCATGGATTCTAATGGTGAGTCACAGTCACAGTGGAGAACAAAACCGAACAAAACAAAAACATCAAAAGGTCTATAGAAACTTCTCAAACCCCTCCTGCATTATAAGCCTTTTCTCCTCTGTTGAGCCCCATGTTCTAAACAACTGTTTATTTGCCAGTAAACATGTTTTAGAGCTATGAAGTGTGGCATGGAACTAAGGTATTTTGCTCATTTGTAGAGAAACTATGAGGCTTTTTGAACATACAAATAAACACAGGTGAACAGTGCTGCAGGAGGGGTTTAGTAGTTTCTGTGCACATTTTGCTGTGACTCTAGGTCAACATTGGAAGCCATTGTAACTGCTGTGAATCTGACTGTGAAGCTGACTACAGCTGCTGGACTCGTTTACAATAGGAGGTGGTTAAAAGGACACTTCACCCATTTGCATTAAGCTTTGTATCGTTAGAAACCCAGTCATATTTTTGA